GTTGTTTTTTTCATTCGAGTTGCTAAAAAACATATTCATGCACTCATGCTGTTGGAAGTAATATTTTGTTCTATAGGTAATTAAATTTCCTGAAAAATAAAGAAATTTGTAAAATTTCTTCTAAATTCTTGTAAATTTTTAAGGAAAGAATCTATTAAATTAAAAAAATCACTTATTTGTTTGAAGATAGCAATTTATTTATGAAAATTTGCTAGTTATTTGATTAGGTTGATTTTAAAATGGAATTTTGCTAGGTAAAACTTACGATCAGAACCTCTGGAGTATAGTGTGAAAGTATTTGGTACAGTATCGTGTGGCTGTGCAATACATGCAACATCATCCAGTGATGCCGGAAATGTTGTAAGATTTTTTGAAAAAAACTTTTTTTTAAAATTCTAAATAAGTTTACAAAAATTGAATCCGAAAATTAAATCCAGAAATTAAAAAATTAAATCCGGAAATTAACCTATTTTTAATTTAACAGTACCAATAACAATATCACTTACTGTGTAAGCAAAATCCCGTAGGATAATCACCGGAATTTCAATCTTCAAAAGTATCAAAAAAAACGTATAAGGAACAATTTTTTTCACTCTAAAAATTATATAAATCACAAAGTATATTCATTAACAAAATAATTTTAATTATTTTCATTAAAAAAAAGTAATCGTCAAAATAGTACGAAAATACTGTAATAGGATAATTGAAATAAATTAATTGGAATTAATATTGCAAATGAATCATGTAAAAATTTACAAAAATAACTATATTCCATCACCATGATGAAATACATATATTTGTGAGGAAAACGTTATTCAGAAAAATTTCTACTCCAATTTAATATATCTTATAGAATTTCAATTTATTGTACCTTATGAAATTTTAAGTTTTTTATTTTTGTTTTTTTTTTTTGTATAATATTTTATGGAATAAATTGCTGAAAGTAGAATTATAAAAAAGAGTACAATTGACATTATTATTTATACAAATAAAATTAAATTTGAAATTTTATTACTTGAATTTACATTAAGCAAATATTACAAAAACTTGCATATACAAATTTATTACGATGTAATTTTTCAAGTAAAAATGCATTATAATAGTATCAAATTTCGTGAACAAACTTTGGACTATTTAGAAATTCTTATTTAATAATAGGAAAAGATCAAAAATCATTCTTTGTATGATTAATTTTCAAAAATGTATATTTGTACGAAGTATAAAAATGAAATGATGAAGAAAATATTGCAACATAGGAAAAAGTGCTTCAATAAAGCGATAAAATCAACAGATCAAAATACAAAATTAAATTTAAATTGAACAATAAATTTTAGTAAAAGAATAATTCAATGAATAAAACATCATTCAAGCAGTTATCATGCTTTAGATCAAACAAAAACCATAAAGATTTGTATCATAATATTCCAGAAATGTAAATTATTCGAATAGCACGAATTTAAAATAGAATAGAATGATTGTTAATTAACAATAGAAGAAAATATCTGACGATAATTGCATAGAATCAAATTTCATTTAGATGTGAATGCATCTGATAATCTGATTGCAAATGTTTCTGATAGTCTGGTTGTAAATGTTTCTGATAACCTGGTTGCAAATGTTTCGGTTAGCCTGGTTATAAATGTGCCTAATAACCTGATCGTAAATGTATTTAATAGTCTGGTGATAGCCTTGTTGTTAATGAATGTATCTATAGCCTAGCTTCTAGGATGCTCATACAGTATCTGCATGTATTTTTTTTAGCAGCAAAATTTTAGGAAACATAAATTTAAGCAACCAATAACGACATCTATAATTGCTACAACCAATGCACTACATGCCAAAAAGAATCTGCGACCAGTTTCATTTTCAATTTTTATTTCAAGACTTCTTGTCAGGTTAGCAAAATCAATATTATCTGAAAATTGATTTATGGAATTATTTTTAAGAATTCGTTAGAGAATCAATTTAAAGAGTATGAACTAATAGCATGACTATTTTAGTCTAAGTAAAGATTTATTTTATAAAAGGATTAAGTAAAAAAAAAAAAAATGATAATGAATTGTTATCAGGTAGCCTGAATGAAAACACTTTCTTTCTTTTTTTTTTTGTTTTTTGATGGTCAATAAGTAATACTTTTCACTTACATTCAAAATTCAATTTGTAATTAGTCGACTTATAATTGTTTCATATAAAGATTCTAATTCATTTGCATTAATTTTAAAATTTAATTTTTTTAAAAAAATTTTTTGAAGTATTTTGTCGGAGTAAAATTTTTAAAATTTTATTACCAAAATGGTAAAATTGAGAAAAAATGAAAAAAAAATCAATGACAAATTTTCGTAACAGTTTACAGAAATGAAGCATACTGTAGCGTTGAATCCAATAACATAAGTAGTACTAAAGGTTAAAGTAATACAAAAATAAACTACTGTAAATATCATCAAAATTGGCCAATTAAAACAAACTGACTATATATATAATAATACTTGATGCTATATGTTGTATAAATTAAATTTGCATGACAATTGCATTTTTCATTAGACTCTACTTTAGACTACTGTAGATGCTTTTCAATTCTACTGTAGACTACTGTGGCACTTTTTAATTCTACTGTAGCAATTTTATGTACACTAATTGAAAATAAATAATAAATTAGCCAGCATTACTTCATTATTTTAGCAACTCTTGTCTTTTATTTAAAATAGTAGGATTGGATAGTATATCAAAGAAGTTATTAATTAATACTGAATTTATTAATAATAATTATTGATAGATACTGAAAAAATTGTGGACGTAAATAAAATAATGCAAAAGGCAAATATGGAAAATAAAAAAAATTGGTGAATAAAGAAAAACATCCACTTTTTGAAAATTTGAAAACTTTAGAGAAAAAAAGTAGGATAAAATAATTAGTTAACAATGGATAAATATGATAATTAGTAGAGTAACAATGTTAATTAATCGGCATAATAATGAATGAATATAACAAATAAGAACATTAATAAGAGTTGAGCGAGCTAATTTAAAATAAATAAAAATGGATAAATTTATGATGATATGCCAAAAATGAACAATTGTTTTATACCAAATATTTGGATAATTAGTTTTATAATAAATAAATAATTAATTTTATAATAAAGAAAGAATAAGTATTTAAAATATATAATTTTAATATTTTATGTCAAATTTTTGACAACATATTATTAAAAAGAAAAAAAATACTTTTTCAATAAGTATGCTATTTTAGTAAAAAAAAAAGAAAATTGATGAATTTTAGGATGAAGAAATTTCAATTTTCATTCTAATATTATAATTATTTCATTAGTATAATTAATGAATTTTAGGATGAACAAATTTTAATTTCCATTTTGATATTACAATTATTTCATTAGTATAATTAATAAATTTTAGGATGAACAAATTTCAATTTCCATTTTAGCATTATAATTATTTCGTTAGTATATCTGAAAATTAATTTATAATAATTATAAAAAAAAAGAAACATACGTATAACTTCGTGATTGTTTATTGCAAAAATAGCAATTGCTGATGCAAGAAATAAAGCAACAATTAATGAAAGTATTGGTAATAATTGCATGCATATTCTTCGGCAATAACATCCAAAGAATGAAATTAATGTCCAACAAATTGTCATCATTTCAGTAATCACTGATAAGCACATCAATATCACCACTATCTTTTCCCAATCTTCTAATTGCTAAAAAAAATAATCAAAATTTTTTTTAATGCATTATTTTATATATATTTTAAATTTATATATTATATTTTAAATTTATACATTGTATTTTTTAAGTTTATATATTATTATAATTTT